CCACATCCCAATTTAAGGATTAGATTCCACATTAAACCAGGATTTTTCAGCAAACTTTCCATAAAGTATGAGTTTCACTGTACCAGAAGCCAAGACAACTTGATTATCAATGACAGCAAAGATACATTTTATTTTCCTTAGGTTTCCAGATCTGAAACATTGTTTCTGTTTCATGGAATTGTAACCATACAATCACTGTACATCAACAAACCAGATATTTGTTGGGAAGACTCCAGAAACATAGCATTCTTCCTTAAAATTATCCACTTGCCCTCTATGCTTGTTGATAGTAAGGAAAATTGATAAGATTACTTTATTTGGACTGCAAAATCCTGCCGAGCAGTAGGTGGCAGCAAAAATACAAATAAATAAACAAAAAACCCTTCCAAACATGCAAATTATAAATTAAGCCCATATCAAATTCAAATGATTAGCTCTGAGAAGCAATAGTTTAATCAATGGATATTTAGAAAATGGTAGTATAGGCAAGTCATTGACTTGCGACCAAAACCGCGCCCAAAATTTCCAGTGCTGAGCAAGGCCGTTGAATGAGTTTTCACCCCATTTTACAACCTTTCTGGTCAGTTAAGTGAATCACTGTTGTTGTTACCAACATGGTTGTTGAGTGACTTTTCCATTGACTTTGCTTGTCAGATGTCGCAAACGGTGATCACATGACCCCAGGACACTGCAACCATCATAAACACGTGCCAGTTGCCAAGTGTCCGAATTTTGTGACTACAGGGATTCTGCAACAGTCATAAGTGAGAAAAAATGGTCATAGGTTGTTTTTTTCAGTGCTGTTGTAACTTTGAACAGCCACTAAATGAATGGTTGTAAATTGAGGCCTACCTTTCATACACTGTATATTTGATTATAGAGACAATGGGTGCACCACTGGAAAAACTAGAAAGGTTAGATTGGGAACCTTCTGGAGAATATGTTGGCACCAACTTGATGCAGATAATTGATCACTTTCCCAATATTTATTTTTCATATTGTGTTTGATGTTTATGTTTAACGTTTTAAATGTGAAATGTATCTGTCATGCCCCTGATGGAGACTGACTCTGACCAGTCAGAGAAGGACCCAGGCCCGTCCCCTATCCATCCTAGGGCACGCAGGGAGGAGAGGATCAGGGTAAAACGTGGTCTACTTGGGAGGAGAGGGCCATGATCCTCTTCATGGGTTGCAGGTGTGAGATCTGCATAAGAGTTTGGACCTGCATGCTAACAGCTGGAGACAATTAGTGGTTTATTTCTAAAGAAGGTTTATCTTGGTTGGCGTTCTTCCAACAGACTGTCCCTGGTTATCTTCCTGAAATGGGCAATTACCTATCCTGGTCTGTTGTGGAACTTTATTCAATGCAGTTTGTTTTTGGTTTTTGCTTCATTATCGGCTCTTTGAATTTGAACTGTGTTTCTTTCCTTTGAAATGTTATTTTGAAAATAGTTTAATCCCCCACTGTGAACAATTAAACAGTGAAGCCAAGTCGAAGGCATTAAAGGACTTTTAGTTACGTTTTGGGTTTTGTTATATTTCTGATATACTCTGGGTCATTACAGTATCATACTATTATTTATGAAAACCTGATTCCCCAGACATCCAACAAAATGAAGTTGAGTAGTAAGAAAGATAAGGCTTCACTTAGGCAAGAAAAACCAAACTCATGGGTATCGAATAGGTGGCACCTGCCTCAACAACAGTAACAGTTAAGATGGATCTAGGAGTTCTAGTGGACCATTGTTTAAGTATGAGCCAGCAATGTGCTAAAGCTGCCAAAAAAGCCAATGCAATCCTAAGCTGCATCAACAGAGGGGTAACATCAAATTCCCATGAAGTGTTAGTATTGCTTTATACTTCACTGATAAGACCATACTTGGTCTCCAGCTTTGGTCACCACAATACAAAAAAAGTTGTTGAGACTTTTGAGAGTGCAGAGAAGAGCAGCAAAGATGATTAGGGGACTGGAAACTAAACCATACAATGAATGATTGCGAGAACTGGGAATGTCTAGTCTAATGAAGAGAAGGACTAAGGCTGACATGATAGCAGTCTTCCAATATTCGAGGGGCATGTCACAGAGAAGAGGGGTTCAACCTATTCTCTAAAGCACCTGAGGGCAAAACAAGAAATAATAGATGAATGTCCCAATTGTGCTTTTCAAAACGCAACTGGACTTTCTTGGGTTTGTTTTTTTTAATCTTTGAAAACATTTCACTTTTCATCCAAGAAGCTTCTTCAGTTCTGGAGTTCAATTCCATTCTGTTCAATTCAGGAAATGAAGAAGGTTCTTGAATGAGAAGCAAAACATTTTCAAATTTAAAAAAAAAAACACAAGGAAATAGTTGCCTCTTCAAAACACCTTTGGGACAACCATGACCCGGATGATTGAGCATCTCCATAGACATTTTAACAGCTGAAAGCTTATCAAAGAGACATCCATCATAAAATTAAGGAGAAACTTTCTCTCAGCGAGAAGAGTGGAAGAAGAGCTTGTCTCCAAAAGTTGTAAGTGCTCCATCACTAGAACTTTTATCAGAGATTGGACAGTCATTTGTTCAGAATGGTGTAGGGTCTCCTGCTTAAGCAGAGAATTGGACCAGAAGACCTCTAAAGTCCCTTCCAACTCTGTTATTCTGTCATTCTAATACACCTGGCAGAAATGTCTCTAATATAACCATTCCCAGCCTGGCAATCTCCACAGGACCAGGGGTTCACAACTCCCAAATTCAAAGATAGGATATGATGGTATAAAGTTTTCTGAAATTTGAAGCCCTCATACATCTGGATACTGCTCAGCTGGATTTTCTCTAATGTGTACAGTATACATTAGAGACTGTGATACAAGCACACAATTATTTATATAATTAGATGTATGTAAATATATAATTAGATGTATGTAAATGCAACTACTTCTTCTTCTTCTATTATTATTATTATTATTATTATTATTATTATTATTATTATTATTATTATTATTATTATTGCATGTAAACGGAATTTCATTCTGGTAAGACTACCCATGCAGATAAGTACTTCCTTGCAAAGAACAGGCATTGAA